CAAGGGTTCTTTGTAAACTCGTGTTCGTAGTTGATAGTTCATCCCCTATTGTTCCCTTGGCCCTTTCCTATGATTCTGTTCAGACCAAGGTTGTTCAGACCAAAATTTTTGCTTGAAATGACCATCTTCAGGGAAAATCCTATCTTTCCTATCTTTTACCCAGGTTCTTATGCACCCCGGACTGAAGCAATGCAGTTCACATTGGTGGTGAGAAAATTCCTTCCCTCCTATGTCCAAGGCACAAGTCCATTCAAATTCTCTTCCATTATCATCAAAGGAGAAAGGACAAAGAGCAAAGATTTCTTCTGCCAATAGCCGTCCTAAGGAATTTCAGAGGACTCATGGCTGAATGTCTCAATTTTCAAGAGTTACTCCTTTTCATACACGATCCTACGTTTCAGGTAGTTCAGTTGGGAAACTTTTCACTTAGATGATCTAAACCCACAAATACACTAACATAAGGAACAGAGTACACTGATGTTACAAAGCTTAAAAAATTAATGGGTCACGTTGAAATGTTAATGACAAAGCTGATACATTGCATTTTGATTTTGTGTGGCTCCAACACATTCCCATCAAATCCATAATCAAAAGTGATGTGTTCTCTCAAAACACAAACACCTTTGAAACAAAACACAGCACCAGCGTGCTTTCATCAGACCTACTTACAGCACAGAAATATTAAACAAACATCTCCTTTCTCGCCCTAATTATTGAACAGTGGATGTAGTAGCAAAGATGTATTCACTTTAATGAATTTCATGGTGTTTTAAATAAGGAAGAAAAGTCTCTTTCCCATTTATTCCTTTGCAGCTACATACCTGGTCTTAAATTTGTAGGACTGATGCTTCCACATAGCAAAATGAACCACCTTCATTATCTCAGTTTACAAGTAGGGAAACTGAGGCACGAAGCACAAACTTTCCTTCCCCAAAGCCAGTGAGTAAATGAGCAGCAGGAGGGATCGACCCCCGCAGCAGCAGTGCCCTGCTGTAACCACTAAGCAGCATCACCTGCATTTAACACCAACCATTATCAGTTTGCAAAGTGCTACTGATGGAGAAGACCTGCTGGGTCCTTTTGCAGTCGCCTGTAAGGGCAGGCTTTTTCCATGCCTTGTGCTGCAGGCGAAAGTGCTTCATACAATCCCCACATTAAAATAATTCAAGCAGGAGGCCATCTCTCATTTCCTTTGGGGGAAACAATTCTGTAGCTGAATAGATTGCAGCATTAGGAAATATTTCCTGATGTCCAGCCCCTGCCACAGCTTCTAGAATCTGTTGATATATTATTAATAGAAAGGAAAATAAATATAGGTATTAATGCCAGCAGACACTGTCTACTACTAATAGCTGCTAAAGTAATATATTCCCCTTGTTTTTAGCTTTTATTAGTCTTTTTGCAAAGGGTTACAAGACCCTTATGCATCCATTAGCCAGTCAGCCATGTGAAATTAATGTGGAGCAATTTTCATAAGCATTACTCAGAACTAATAATAATTAAGCATTATTTTCTGCTCAGATAACACAGAAAATAAAGTCTGACTTTTATGCCAAGATGGGTTTGCATTAGCTTAAGGTAGATGAATTAATTCTCATTTACAAGGCTTCTCCACCAGCTAGCCAGAAAATATCAAGGTAATTAAAACCAATTTGTGAGGTTCTGTCCCATTGCACATTCACTGAGTTTTATCATTGCTGCAAATTACAGGTGCTTTTATGCTGTTGCAAAGGTGGGACACGAAGGAGACCTTGCTGCTTGCCTCCTTCCCCATCACTTCCAAGACAAGCAACGTCCTTGTGATGACCAGGCTGCGTTCTGCCATGCACTGTGATGCTGCAGAAGCAATGAAGGATCACGCGTCGCGTGAAGGACCAGCTCAGTCCCACCTCAGGCTGGGATGTGGACCTCTCAGCAGCACGTGTAAAAGGCCTCTAACAGATTAAAAAAAACAATGCTATTTCAATTTGATTTACCATTTGCTTGCAAGGGATTAATTTTGGCTAATTACAAAGCCCAGGGGTTTCTGTAGACAGCATTTTATCGATGGCTCAGGAGCAGTTCTCTTACCCAGCCAAATTTTTCTCTTTTGCCTTTAATAACCCAAACCCAGCATTTGCAATCCAGGTAAATACAACTGATTAGTTCTATGATGCTAGACTTTCCAACACTGCCCAAAAGTTCTTTTGTCCTTTTTCTGGCTTAAATAGACACTGAATTCGACACGCAGTCATGTCCCAGGAGCTTCAAATATCACCTGAGCAGCTGCTGTGGTCTCTGAAGATACTTAGCTGTAAGATAGAAAATATATTAATTCAGCCAATAATTAGCTGGAAGTTACATTAACCCAGAGCTATCCTGCCAACAGCTAAGATACTGAAAAAGCTAAGACCTTTCTTAGGGTTTCAGCTTTCCAAGGGGAGCAGCTCCTTCAGATGCCACATCTTGACTTGGCATGTGAGCTCAGCAAACAACTGGGCCCGATGTGACCCACCAGTTTGGAAAATCTGTGGTTTTTTCAGAGGATTATGGCTTCTCTTGCCTGTGTCCTGGATCTCTCATTGCATCTTTCCAGCATCTCCCTTGCTCCTCTGACTCACCGCGGGGTCTCATTTTGGTGTCTGTGTCCACATCAGCAAGATGGGGCAGGTTGACCTGAGACACGACTATATGGGTAAGCAGCAAAAGAAGAATGAGATGGTAGTTCTGACTTTTATTATGTTTTGAAAAATCCTCTCTAGAGTACTCTAAATGCTATTAAAGAGATAAATAAAAGAAGAGGATACTCAAGAAACACCAGCTGTGTCTCAGCCCTGGAAGGAACCACCCTGGAAGGAGCCATCCTGGCATGTGCACTGATATCTATGCCTTCAGTGAAGAAAGGTTTCCCCCTCTTGGCTGTTTCAGTCTCAATCCAGTCGCGGTAGTTGTAAACAGATACTAAGATCTCATGGTTTGGCTCTTCTGCACAATCTTCTCCCCAGCTGACGATAGCGACCTGAAACCACTTCATGGTCTTCCAGTAGCTGCAAACCAGAGGTCCCCCGCTGTCCATCTATGGGATAAGGAGGATGTTATTGCAGGATTAAACCTCAGGTCTCTCATAACAGTTGCATCCCACAGATGGATTGGGAAAAATCAAACTCTTTCCTGTGTTTGTGAGGATTTGAGGGAACGAGGACATTTTTGACTCAGAATACCTCAGCTCAACCCTGAGATCCCTGGAGAATAAACAGATACAGAAGGTAAGAGGAGGGGATGAGCCACAAGCTCTGTCTCAGTGCGCGCCACTTTGAGAAATGTCTTTGTCATCAATGTATGAACCCCCTTCTGCTGGAAGCTACCCTGAGCTAACGAACATTAATTAAAGAGTAGGGAAGTGGTTGCAGCTCCTTGTGGAAGTCATCGGCACCCGCTACAGTTTATCATAGAATCATAGAATGGTTCAGGTTTGAAGGCACTTTAAAGATCATCGAGTTCCAACCCCCTGCCCTGGGCAGGGACACCTCCCACTAGAGCAGGTTGCTCCAAGCCCTATCCAACCTGGCCTTGAACCCCTCCAAGGATGGGACATCCACAACTTCTCTGGGAAAGCTGTTCCAGTGTCTCACCAGCTTCACAGGAAAGAATTTCTTCCTGATATGGCTGAATTCCCACTCACTTCACTAGGTAGAGTACCCAGGTCATTAATATGTTTAATTTTTTTTCTATTTTCTTTTTGGTTCAACATGAGTACAGGAAGGAAAAATTAAGATAAATACAGAGCAAATGTTGCTTCAACATTCATAAAATCAGAGAATCATTTAGGTTGGAAAAGACCTTTTAGATCTTAAAGTCCAACCACAAAATCCATACCGGTTGCACTGAAATAGTGTTACTGTAGCTACATGTCTGCATCTCAGCTGGTGCTGCTGGACCCTCTTCAGACACAGGATCTCAAGATCTTTCCCAACCCTGTTTCAGCCAAGAATTCACATGAATCACACAAGTGACCTTGCAATGACCTTGGACCCATGCGTTATCAGCGTCCTTGGATGGCATCCTGTTTGAATGAGTGACCATCTCCCAGGCTGGACGCGCAATTAAATTACGGGCAATTTTACTGCTGATTCCCTCGGGGCAGGAACAGGCCAAACGTATTATCCTGGTAGGGAAAGGAAGATGCTGTGAGCCTCCTACACAGAGATAATAAATGAAGTTGGGGGAGTGGGAGCCATCCACAAGGCAGTGACGCGGCAGCGGCTGATGATCCCTCGCCGGTGACACGTCGGGACGCGTCGTGACGGCTTTTTCCCAATACAGGAGATTTTTTTAGGGCTGGCAGAGCCCCCGCACAGCATTCGGAGCGTCCGATTATGGAGGCTGTTCACACTTGCAAAGGACCCTTCTCCCAGGGCGCTGAAATACCAGTTAATTCCTGATACCTTGTGACTGTCCTTGGGGGGGGGGGAAAGTCTTATCGTATTTCACAGCTGAGAAAACTGCGGCAGAAAAAGGATGCAATTTGCAGGAGGCAACGGCAGAGCCAGGAATCCCTTTTTAAACTATACATCATGCTGTTTCCCTTTCAAATCAGATCTGCTTTTCCTTGTTTGCCTCTTTAATCGTGTTCATTTTGTTCTCTGGCCAGTTGGTGAGGAAAGGGAGAGGTGTCCGCGGGGCTTTGGGGACTGTCAGCTGCAGAAAGGGATTTAAAACCTGGGCAGAGAGGGAGCTGGGCTGCAGCTGCAAATCCATTTCTCTAATCCACAAGCCCCGAGACCCAAATCCTGCTTCACATCCCTTTCCACATGGGCTGAGCTGGTCTGCTTCATGGGTGCAACATCTAACATGCCATTTCTCTTAACTTCAGCTGTTTAGCTCCACGGTTTTATCACTAAGTGGGCTAAATCATCCTCTGCGTGTGATAATCTCGCTCACATAATTATAGCAGCAGCCCAGATGAATCAGGAGCCTGATTTTTATAGGGGTAAAGATAGAGAAAAAAACCCAAAAAACCCTCGGTTCTTGGATATTTCTGAATATCCTTGTATCCACCTTAAGCTCTCAAAAACATCGGCCCAAGGTTTTCCATCCTCGTGTAGGAGAAGGTGTGGGAGGAGCGAGCTTTGAGCACTGGTACAATTATCTCAGCTCTGTGATGTTTCCAGTAGCACTAATTTAATGAACGCTCAGGTTAACGACTCCTAAGATCGAAGAACTTATTGAATACCTCAGCTCAACCCTGAGATCCCTGGACAATAAACAGATACAGAAGGTAAGAGGAGGGGATGAGCCACAAGCTCTGTCTCAGTGCGCGCCACTTTGAGAAATGTCTTTGTCATCAATGTATGAACCCCCTTCTGCTGGAAGCTACCCTGAGCTAACGAACATTAATTAAAGAGTAGGGAAGTGGTTGCAGCTCCTTGTGGAAGTCATCGGCACCCGCTAAAGTTTATCATAGAATCATAGAATGTCTCTGTGACCTTGTGGACAGTGTGGCCGTCCAGGAGCCTGTTTATTTTACCTCACAGGCTTCTCTTTCTCCTTTCTCCAGCTTAGCACACAGCGCATTCTCCGCCAGCTCGGGGAGCTCTGCATCTCAGCTGGTGCTGCTGGACCCTCTTCAGACACAGGATCTCAAGATATTTCCCAACCCTGTTTCAGCCAAGAATTCACGTGAATCACACAAGTGACCTTGCAATGACCTTGGACCCATGCGTTATCAGCGTCCTTGGATGGCATCCTGTTTGAATGAGTGACCATCTCCCAGGCTGGACGCGCAATTAAATTACGGGCAATTTTACTGCTAATTCCCTCGGGGCAGGAACCGGCCAAACGTATTATCCTGGTAGGGAAAGGAAGATGCTGTGAGCCTCCTACACAGAGATAATAAATGAAGTTGGGGGAGTGGGAGCCATCCACAAGGCAGTGACGCGGCAGCGGCTGATGATCCCTCGCCGGTGACACGTCGGGACGCGTCGTGACGGCTTTTTCCCAATACAGGAGATTTTTTTAGGGCTGGCAGAGCCCCCGCACAGCATTCGGAGCGTCCGATTATGGAGGCTGTTCACACTTGCAAAGGACCCTTCTCCCAGGGCGCTGAAATACCAGTTAATTCCTGATACCTTGTGACTGTCCTTGGGGGGGGGGGAAAGTCTTATCGTATTTCACAGCTGAGAAAACTGCGGCAGAAAAAGGATGCAATTTGCAGGAGGCAACGGCAGAGCCAGGAATCCCTTTTTAAACTATACATCATGCTGTTTCCCTTTCAAATCAGATCTGCTTTTCCTTGTTTGCCTCTTTAATCGTGTTCATTTTGTTCTCTGGCCAGTTGGTGAGGAAAGGGAGAGGTGTCCGCGGGGCTTTGGGGACTGTCAGCTGCAGAAAGGGATTTAAAACCTGGGCAGAGAGGGAGCTGGGCTGCAGCTGCAAATCCATTTCTCTAATCCACAAGCCCCGAGACCCAAATCCTGCTTCACATCCCTTTCCACATGGGCTGAGCTGGTCTGCTTCATGGGTGCAACATCTAACATGCCATTTCTCTTAACTTCAGCTGTTTAGCTCCACGGTTTTATCACTAAGTGGGCTAAATCATCCTCTGCGTGTGATAATCTCGCTCACATAATTATAGCAGCAGCCCAGATGAATCAGGAGCCTGATTTTTATAGGGGTAAAGATAGAGAAAAAAACCCAAAAAACCCTCGGTTCTTGGATATTTCTGAATATCCTTGTATCCACCTTAAGCTCTCAAAAACATCGGCCCAAGGTTTTCCATCCTCGTGTAGGAGAAGGTGTGGGAGGAGCGAGCTTTGAGCACTGGTACAATTATCTCAGCTCTGTGATGTTTCCAGTAGCACTAATTTAATGAACGCTCAGGTTAACGACTCCTAAGATCGAAGAACTTATTAAATGCTGCTTTCAGCTTTCAGCCTCCCGTATCCCACTGGTGAAATACTCCTGGTCAGCAACACACACCAGATACCTGCTCCCGCTCTTCAAGTCTGAGTGCCAAGTTTCTGGACAACAAAAAAAACCTAAAAATAGCATCTTGGTTTCTGTTGCATGTTTTGTCTCAACTAGAAGACGAGTGAAAAGCAACGGCATCAAATCAGAGCTGGTGCTGAACTCATGCCTTCCACAACTGCACGTTAATCCTCCCATTAGGAGAGGTGAAAGCAATGATGTATTCACTGATAAGTAGTTCTGGCGGGTATAAAACCTGTCACTGACTAACAAGGCGCTTTGTTCACTGAAGCTGATCAAAAGTTTCATCCTTTTCACCGCGGCCAAAGCCTTTTTTGTGAACATCAGGAGCCTTTCTGCTGACTTTAGTGGGCTCTGGATCAAGAGCGTAATCTTCTTCCTTTCGTATTTGTGTCTGCAACATGGTAATTGATCAGAACAAACACACTCAGCCACATAAATCTTCTTAGGTGGGAGAAGCTCTAGGGGAGGGAGAACAACCCATCTGATACTCGTTAGGTGGATACACAGTCCTTGACAAGCCTTTGCTGGTTTCATTTTCGTGTTGGTGAGGGGTGTTCAAATTGGAGAGACTCAGCGTGTGAATAACACCACTGGCCATCAGAGCTGCCCTGGCTGCAGGAAGCAGAGGCTTTGGCAAACAGATGATTTCTTCAGTTATTTCACCGTGAGCAAGCTGCCTTTAGAGAAAGGTGGAAGGAAGGAGGCTAGGGCCGTTTTTAGCATGCCAGTAGCAAAAATGAACCAGGTAAGACAGGGCATCTCGACTCCTTTCATGGCATCCCCTTGAGATCTCAGCTAAGAGCCTTCAGGTGCTCTGTCTCTCCATCCCCTTGCTGGAAAATGGGAGAACAAGACCGCCCAGCTCAATCCAGCAGGGTCCATCAGTATCTACAGTGGCACGGACTTAAAGGCAGTTATAACGTGTCCAGCCAAAGACCCATGTGGCCCAGACTCCTCTCTCCAACTGTCATCTGTAGCAAGTGTGCAGGGAAGGAGAATGAGAAACAGGGCAAGTATTTACTGAGTTGTATTTACATCACAGTGGTTAATAGCCTCAGAGAGATCTTCATCCAGGAAGTTATCTAA